AGTTGGATAACCATCACCAAGAAGTCGGATAATCGGTATGAACACATTACAAACAATTTGAATAATCAATAGAAAATAATTAGATAATTAGTGCAAGCTGGTTGGATAATGAGTACAAAAAAATTGAACAATCATTTTCATAAAAAAATTAAAAAAAAAAGGTTAGATAACCATCACCAAGAAGACGGATGGATAATTAATATGAACACATGGTACATATATTTTATCAAAAGAAAAAAAAAAAAGAAATTATGTTTGGATAACCAATGAAAACTATTGGAAAACCAATACAAAACGGTTGGATAGTCAGTACAAAAAACAGGAAAAGGATTTTCACAAAGAGTAGAGGAAAAAATGTTTAGATAATCTATACCAAACAGTTGGATAATCAATATGAACGCGTTGGACAACCATTATTTTTTTAAAAAAAAAAAGGTTGGATAAGCAGTACTAATTAATTGGATAATCAGTATTAACATATTGGGCAACGATTTTCTAAAAGAAAAAAAAATGATTGGATAACTAGTACAAACGAAATGGATAATCAATTTAAACCGGTCGGATAATCAGTATGAACACAATGGATCACTATTTTAAGAAAAAACTAGATTTGATAAGCAGTACCAATTAGTTGGATAACAAATACAAACATATCGGATAAGTATTTACATAAAAATAAAAAAAAAATAGCTGGAGATACAATAATACAGAGTTGGATAATCAGTACGAACACATTAATTTGACAAGCAATTTCTCAAAAGAAAAAAAATAATTTGACAAACAATACAAAATTATTTGAACAAGCAGTAAAAATAATTTGATAACCAATAAAAAACGATTGGATAATCACTACGAACACATTGGATAACCTTGTTTCAAAGAAAAAAAATATGATTGAATAAACAGTATAAACAGAATGGATAACCAGTATTAGCGTATTGGACAATGATTTTTTCCAAACAAAAAAAAAATAATTGGATAACCAGTACAAACAATTTAGATAGGCACATAAATCCATTGGATAACTAATACACATGAGTTGGATAGACATACAAACTAAATGGATATCCAATACAAATAAGTTGGATAAATATCCAGTACAAACAAGTTGCATATGCATACAAACTCGTTGGATTACAACTAACAAACAAGTTGAATAGGTATACAAACCAAATGAATGGATATCCAGTACAAATAAGTTGGATAAATATCCAGTACAAACCAAATAGATATCCAGTACAAACAAGTGAGATATTCACTACAAACAAGTTAGATAGGTATACAAACCAAACAGATAAGCAGTACAAACAAAATGGGTAAACAGTTCAAACTGGTTACATAATCAGTATGAACACAATGGATAACCAATTTAAAATAAGTTGGTTATCCATCTTGTAAAACTGGATATCCACCTTTATTCTGTCCATCAGAATTTAATCATTTTTAGGCCCAAAAAAATATTTAATATGGATCTTGTTAGATAGATCTCGACGAATACAATAAAATTTATGTATAACACGTTTTCTAATTCTTCACGGATTGAGAGATATGCTCGTTTGAAGATTAGAGATGTTTTTTGGAAGAGAGAGAAAAAAAATAACAGGGACTAAATTTGTAAAATATAGGAAGAGTTGAGAAAAAAGTATAGTAACGACTACATGTGCAAAAAATAGGAGGGGGAGTACATGCTCCCGGGTATACTGGATACAGTGTCGTCTTGTTCGTTCAACTCTCATTTTGCTTTTATTTTTTTTTTTCTCATTTTACCTCTAAAACATCTCTTAAACACAAAACCCAATACTATCCAAACAACTTTTTAACTTATTTTTTAAAAAATATTTCAGAAATTATTTTTACACAATTTTCGTCAACCTCCACTACCGCCGGACCGCCCCTTGCCGCTGCCGGAATTTGGCCGGAATTCGGCCGGCGGCGGAGGATGGTGGTCCGACTACGAAGGTAGGTGGTAGAGGTGGTTAGTGGTACTTAAAAAATAATATTATTTTAATTACAAATCTATCTAAATATTTTTTAAAATTTTCTCTCAAAACAGATTTTAAATCACATTTCAAATTTAGACAAAAAACTAAACCAAAATGTAAAATGAGATGTTTGACATACAAGCCTTAACTTTTTTTTTTTTTTTAATGACAGGAAGAGTACTTAATGATTTTATTTTAGAGGGACATGGATTACAGTGGATGGCTTGATGCATATGGCATGGCAAGACTGTGAGTAAACTTTAAATCGGGTTCCAAGTGAAGAAAGGGCGGGCCAGCGGGGTTAAGTTTGAGAGAACATCATTTTGTGTACATAAACATATTGATTAATTGAATCGAGTAAATTTTGAAGAAATTCTTTTTTATCTCTGTATACATTTCTAATTATAATTGACTTTTGGATCATATGGAATGTGAAATGGTAGTCAGAGGTGTTGGGTCGAATGTGACTCAGATTCATGGATTATAAAAGAAATTTTGCATGCTTGGCTAGTTGAGCAATCTAGCTAAATTCAGACTTTGACGTCTGATCGGACGGCTGTGATATTCATATCTCTGCGGCCTAAATTGTATTCCTCGTGATCTGTCACATGGGAGAATCCTATTTGCTCTTTTTTGTCGGTGATGTTGAAACAGTACATAACATTGGGTTTCAAGAAACCAAAATATAATGAATAAGAAAAAACTAAAAAATTACTACAGTAAAATCACTACATTTAATTATTGATTGATGATTTAACTTTAAAAGAACCTTTATATATTTGCTTTCTAAATATATATCGAAAAATTGCAAAAATGCTGGGAAAAATGAATATAAGAATCTAGAAAGTCCAAAACATGACGTTGAAATATTATGTTGGTAAATTCGGATACAAAAAACCAGGCTCTTCTTTCGAAGCAGAATGTTGCTTTTTTTTTTTTTTTGGTTAAAATGTCTACCGAATCTAACTTTTAAATTTGGTTGATTATTTTAAATTGAGAAAAAAGAACGAGCAATAATATTATACACCACCTTTGTGTCCAAAATTTGGTTGATTATCATCAAACAATGTGTAGAACGAGCATACGTTATTTTATTTTATTTTATTTTTTGCGTTACTAAGGCTTTGTTTGTTTAGTTTTTTTAGATTAATAAAATAATAACTGTCCAATCCTATCATATTTTTTTACATTTCTAATACATTTTTTTACATTCCTAATAAAAAAATAAAAAAAAACTCAGGCTAAAAGAAGAAAAAAAAAATATAAAAATACACATTAAAAAAACGAAACAAACATACCTAAGATAGTGCCATCCAAATGGTAAAGTCAAAGTATTAAAGGAACACAAAAAAGTAAAGCAAATCTGAGAACGGAAAGCTTTAGCCCTTAATTGATGGTGTTGAATATAATCATGAAACTAAAAACCCTTTGAATATTTTCGCTCATAAGTGCGATTTAACGGCAACATTGTATACGATGAGTTGTTAGTAGCCTTAAAAAGGCTTCTCAAAATTCAGTAGCTAATGCAAGGACTCTTTTTTTTTTTTTTTCACCCAAAGATCACAACACTTGGATTGATTTATGATGTACGAGTAGATTTTCAGGCTATATCACGTCTTTTTATACAGGCTGATACAATTGAGATAACGGTACTAATTTTATGGGAAAAAGAAAATAATACATGGGTCTAAACAAATATTAACATTAATCTACATTGGTTAGTTACACTTAAACAATATAATACATACATCTATTGTAATATTAGATGTTTCCGGAATTCACATCCTGCCAAGAACAATTGTGCCTTTTCAGTAAAAGAAAATACCCTTCCGCAATAATGGATTTAATTAATAATTAAGATCTGGTTATGATTCGTTTTTTCTTTCTGGTTGATTAAACTAATTTATTGATCCATTATTTTTTTTTAAAAAAATAATTCATCAATATGATGCATCAATTGTCTTACAATTGACAAAAGAACAAAATTACTATAAAAAATACTTCCTCCGTCTCAAAATTATTGTTCAGTTTAAATTTTTAGTTTCTTAGTTCAATTTGTATTAAAACTAAAAATTCAAACTGGACAATAATTTCCGGAGGGAGAGAGTGACAAAATTATTATTGTTTTATTTTTTTGAAAATTGAAATAAGATTTATTCTGCAAGAATATTTTCCCCCCCTCTAAAATTTGATCAATTCTGTAACAATATTTTAAAATTCACCCCCGCCCCAAAAAGAAAAAAAAGACCTCTAATAATTGTAGACTGTCTTTCCTATACGGTAGGTTGAATTAAATTTTATTAATACTCCACAACTCAGACATCACTTCTTAAATCCAGTTGTCAAACACAAGAAACTTTTGTATTAATTTAATGTTAAATCAAATGCTTTGGCCTTGTGAAATACCAGCATCCTGGCCCAACCTCAAATGGTATTCCAAATTTTCTTCCGTAAATCCACCAATGGGGCAGCCTGGATTTCCTTTACTCAAATCCTTCTGGCAAATTAGAGCTTCTTTCTTCTTCCTTTAATCTGTCGGTCATGTCTTCTTGGGCATGGTAACTTTCAGTTTCCCCATAAAAAAATGCTCAAGTACAAACATGAAACAACAGAGAAAATTCCAAAACTGAAGGTTCTTTATTGGGAAATTATATTATGATGATATAAGGGAACTTTTGAGGTGCTGCTTTAATACACTTGTTTTTTCTTGATGATTTCGTGCGCATTTGATTAGTCAGTGATACAATAAAAGTAAAATTTTAAATTGGATAATAATTTTAACACAAGAAATATTTGTATTTGAATAGAATATCAAAGTGTGTTTTTTTTTTTTTTAAAAAAATTCGATTTGCCGCGATTTGTTTGTATGTAAATCTATCATCAGTTGTTTGCTATTACATCCAAAAAAAAAAAAAAAGCCAAAATACAAGTTGTTTGTAGTTTCAAAAAGATAAAAACATTTTATTTAAATATACTAACTTCTTATCGGAAGCATAAAACTTTCCGAAAGTAGTAATTGGAGGGAGGAATTAAAAAAAGAACTGGGGAAAAATAAAATCTCACTGTTAAAACATCATCAAATTGTCTGAAACCGAGATTTCAAACTGTCAAACAATAATAATATACTGTAAGATTCATCAATATGGACACATGAAATGAACTAAGCTCAAATAATTGACTCATGAGAGCATTAACAGGCCATGTCCTAAAGGAAAACACATGGTAGCACTATCATTTAATACTCCTTGTTCCTTCGAGAATCAGCTGAATTAAGAAGCCTCATATTTTCCCAATTTCACCTCAAAGAACAAAGATGGAGAAAAGGGCTTCTCCTCCCTGTTCTTCATCAATGGCGACGGCGAACTGTACTATTTTCCTCATTTCCATACTCATAGTAGTCGCTTTTTCTTGTTCACTATCCCAAGCAGAAGTTTCCAAAGTCGCAAACTTTGATGATAGTTTCAATAAAACCTGTCCTGAATCACATTTCGCCGCCTCTGACGATGGCCAGAAATGGTTCCTCTCTTTGGATAAGAAATCAGGTGAATGATCTCTAAAAGTAAAAGTGGTCAATTTTCTGGATGAATTACTGATGAACCCTTTAATCATTGGTATGTTAATGGTTCTCAGGTTGCGGATTTCAGACCAAAAATAAGTACAGATTTGGTTGGTTCAGCATGAAGCTCAAATTGGTCGCTGGCGATTCTGCAGGAGTTGTCACAGCTTTTTTTGTAAGTTTTGAACTACAGAGTTGATTTGGGTCGATTTCGTTTCATGTTAATGTAATGGTGATTACCCCAAATTGGATGCAAAATTATGTAAAAATCTTGATTATATTCAATGTTCATCAATGCAGATGTGTTCACACATTGACTTGGGACCAACAAGAGATGAGCTAGATTTTGAATTCTTGGGAAACAGAACAGGGGAGCCTTACATTATCCAGACAAACGTGTACAAGAATGGGACTGGAAATCGTGAACAGAGGCACGTTCTTTGGTTCGACCCCACTGAAGATTACCATAGATATTCCATTCTCTGGAACCCCCATCAGATTCTGTAAGTTATTTTAAAGCCTTGATCTTGATTGGCGTTTTTCCATTTCTGTATCGGCGAATTGTAATCAGGTATGATGTTTGTAAATTGCTGCATATATATCTATGAATGTTGCTCAGTAATCATTCCACTCAATCTAGTAGAATTGGGAAGCTTTTCTGGATTTTACTGATAACCCAATCAAGATGCAAGCAGTAGGCATTAAATATGGTTGGTGCATCAAGTTTAATAAATCTTGATGATAAAATAACAGAGTCCAGGCTCGCGGTCAGTTTTCAGAAGTTTCTGCACATGATCTTTATTCAAAATCCCACATGATTTTGCATCCCAATCATCAGCAAAATGCCACTTTTGAGTAGGACCTTATATCGGCTATTTTACTAAAATGTTACCTCAATTTCTAGTCTAGGTTCGTCTCCTACTCACAAATTCCGGAAACTTTCATTTTCATCCTTAAACTTCAATTTTAGTCTTAGTTGAGTACTAGTCAAAGTTGAAGCTGAGAACCCATAAATACAGATCAACCCTCGACTGATTGAGTACTAGTCTTTTAATAAATACATCATACTTGATTGAGAGTTTTGCCTCTCCCAAGTGACCAACCTAGTTTTATTCGTATTAGATTCCAATACTGGGTGTTTATAATAAACCTGTCGATGTATATTCTAGAACCTTTTAGGATCGGGTTCTCTTGTACTATATATATTATATTACACTTCTGTATCATAATACAGACGGTGAATACAATCCAATTATTTGCGTAGGTATCAAAGCACAGTAGAATGCATAGTTAAGTTGATTGAGAGTTCTCCTGGACTTGTTAACTCAAAAAGAAAAAATTTGTGGTGAAACAGGTTCATGGTGGATGAAGTACCACTAAGGGTGTACAAGAATGCAAACTACACAAACAACTTCTTCCCAATTTCTCAGCCAATGTACTTGTTCTCAAGCATATGGAATGCGGATGACTGGGCAACAAGAGGCGGTCTGGAGAAGATCAACTGGACGAATGCGCCATTCGTATCTTCTTACGCCGATTTTGTTGTGGATGCTTGCCAGTGGGAAGACCCATATCCAGCCTGTGTATCCACCACTACAGAGAATTGGTGGGATCAGTATCCTGCTTGGCATCTCACCGAAAAACAAAAGATGGATTATGCTTGGGTTAATAGGAACCTTGTGATCTATAATTATTGCCAAGACAAGGAAAGATTTGATAAGGCCGGAGAGCCTATGCCTGAAGAGTGTGGATTGAGTCCTTGGGATTGATCATATTTGGTCTGGTTTGAATGATTCATAGTACATAAGAATTCTTATGTAGAGAGAGTTTTTGGTTTTAAGTATATATATATATATGTATCCAGCATTTATTTTGATCCATTCTATTCTTTTGAATCGAGGATATGGTATAGCCATATAATGGGAGATACTGTATTTTTTACAAATGATGAAATTCGAGATTTGGATGTTTTGGGCAAACATAAAAAGTGCTTTTGGGCGTCTCATTGCTATATCTACGATCAGTTGTCATGGTGTACCTTCAATTGTTACTTGAATCATTCCATTTGTTTCTAGGTGAACCCAAATTGTATTTCAAGATTTTAATTTGTGCTCGTATTGTGGATTCGGGTAAAGTTTCCTTGGAATCATGCCGCTGCAAAGAAAGCCAGAAACCATTGCTCTCAGTTGTTAGGAGTTACATAGGTTGTGTTCTTATTTTCCAAAATAACTGTATATTTATTGTACTAAAATAGTGTAAACGAAATAGATGGAATAAGATGTAACTCTTTAGTTTTAGTAGTTGAACAATATACAAGAAAATTAATAGATCACAATTTTAGCTCTTTAATTATGAGTATTATTTCAAGCATGAAAAAAAAAAAAAAGGGGTTGTGAGGCAGAATTTTGAACAAAGGTAGTAACAATTCCCATTGGATTGTGGAAGGATTGAGGAAACAAGAAATGACGACCCTTAAAAATGCCTAGTTATGAATATTTCCACTAAATTAAATTTTTTCTTTTTAAAAAATTTTCTGGTTGAATCTTTGAACATATAAACTAAATATATTTTTCTACTTTTTGTTGCACTACCTGGCTTTAGTAGCAGCATCAAATCCAATTGTCAAGATATCCTACAATAGCTATGTAGTGAATTCGTTATTGAAACACGAGCTAATCAGAATTTTTATTTGTAAAATGTTCTATTCCCAGCGTTTAATGTTAAAATAAATTTTAAAACTCAATTTGTACTATTTTATTGGGACAGAGGGAGTAATATATTAAAATTGATTTGACAAAAGTGAAATATAAAAATTTCTATTAGAAGAATAAAAAACAAAATTCCATGTGCCAAAAAAGTAAAAATAAAATTCCGAACTCAAGTTTTAATTGAAATCCTAAAATCAGACCAGATTTCTTATATATAACCGACTTACTTTATGGCTAGGACCTCAAAGATTTCAAACTACGTCGTTTGATCAGCTGCCCCGCCGTATATTTATTTATTTTAGACTTCACAGATACAACTGTAACCTCAGAATCAGAAAACCCGATCGGCTCTTCATCCTTGCGAAGCTCCGGTCTCGAGTTGAATTAGGTTTCCGATTAACGACTCAATCCGCCACCGCCGATTACAATGGTCTGCGAAAAGTGTAAGTACTGAATCCTTGTGTTGTGAAGATCCTTAATTGGAACATTTAGGTTCGATTTCTAGGTTTCTGTAATTCTGGTTTTTGTGATAGAATCTAATTGTGTAAATTTTTTCGTTAAATATAGGTGAGAAGAAGCTGGCGAAGGTGATTGTTCCGGACAAATGGAAGGACGGAGCCCGTAATACTACCGAAGCCGGCGGTCGGAAGATCAACGAGAACAAGCTTCTCTCGAAGAAAAACAGGTAACCGTCTTCGAGGGTTTCAGCTTATGTTGCACTTTCGTTAGCTCTGTCAATCTTATTAAGTTTGGTTCTTTGAATGGAAAAATACTGTCTTTAGCTGCAATTGTGATTGGCTGCTAATTTTTTTTTTTTGGGATTAGCGAAGATATTTATAACAGAGTTCTAAATTCATGACAGCTTTTTGTTCGTTCTTGTTATATTTTGGGGTATTTTTCTTGTGGCTGTTAACTTGTGGTTTCTGGGCTAGAGCAGATTTCCGTTTCATAGGTCTTTTGGATGTTGTATCATGTATGGTGGATTATCACAAAAGCTATTTTAAATATGAATGAGGTACCCATTTAACCTTCCTCGGGTGTAATGATGTTGTTTAACAGGCTGCTCCGTGCTACTTTGATCAACATATCGACACAGCTGTAATTTGTGTATGTAGTTCTTGTGACAAGAGATTGAGTTGCCAATAGCTAGTTTTTGATAATGGTGTTATGGAATTCTAGAAAACCAATGTAACGTAGCCTTTTCTTCGGGAAAACAAGTTTGCTCTGGGTATAATAAACTGTAGGAAGATGTAAACAATATCTTTATCAGCACTCTCCTTTTTCTCATAACCAGTTATCCTGTTATGCTTAGGTGGTTTTGAGAAGTGTGAAAGTAGTGGGCGGCTGGATGTGGAGTACTTGGTTAACATTTTGACTTTTGGTGCTCATTTACCTGCATTGGTTTCTTCATTCTTCCTTTTTCTCCGTTGCTAAATTTTGAGTCTCCTGACTGTTTTTTATTTGATTTCACTTGCTGCATGTGTTATGCTTTAGTTTTTGTGTTTGTTTAGAGCTACTTGTATCTAGTCACAGTGCTTGTTCGAGTCTTCTGCTTGTGCTTGAGGTCTAACTTGTTCTCAAATCTATTTTTTTTAACAGGTGGACACCCTATGGAACAACAAAGTGCATTATCTGCAAGCAACAGGTCCATCAAGACGGTAAATACTGTCATACATGTGCTTACAGTAAAGGTAACAACATATTGAGATACTGCTTTTGTTACTTGTGTCAATGAACTGTTTTCTCCAATTGCTGGAATGATAGAAAAATGCATAATCTTTGTGCTCTTATGATTTGCAGGAGTATGTGCAATGTGCGGAAAGCAGGTCCTGGACACGAAGTTATACAAGCAGAGCAATGTATAGTTAACTCAATCTAGCTTGGTATTTCTTCACCTTCTGCAAGTGTCAAGTGTCCAATTTGTCCTAATTTGGTTCTCTTGTGATGTAACCTCAATGAATGATTTTCCTTCCTCAAGCGTATGTAATCCATCATACAATGTTGCTTTGTACAATAGCTGATTTAGAACTATTTCAGGATTCTTGCAAGTTCCGGATGATAATTATGTATTTTCTGACTAAAACCTTTGACTAGGTAAACTGGTCTGTACTAGTTAGTTACCTATTTGGAATGAACTTTTGAAGCAAGGGAATGTCTTATCAAAGTTGCATCTTAGGCTCCTTTTGATAAAATGATTAGTGATTGTCTAGCACGATTGAGTTTTTTTTCATTAGTTGAATCCATTGGTGCAGATTATTCAGAAATTAAACCATAAACCAACAATTTCTGCCTTCGTTCTGCACTGTCGCCTGCATTTTATGTTGTCAGAGTAATATTCCTCTTCTTCCAAAATTGTTGTTCTGTTTGAATTAAAAATGAAACTTCAAAATGAATAATAGTTTCGGTGATGAGGCAAATTCTTAATATGAAACAGAGGGAGGGTTATGTTACTAATATACTACATCCGTTCCAAAAAAATAGTTCACATTGAGTTTTCAAATTTGTACTAATACTAGTACAAAACTCGAAACTCAATGTGGATTATTTTTCTGGGATGGGGAGAGAAACTTGAAATTCTGCTTGTACCCGATGATAATGCAAACAAATTACAAGGAGTCAAGAAGGATCACTACACTTAACAATTATCAAGTAACTGGGTCGTGAGCAACAACAATTATTGCAAAATAATTCGAACATGATATGATTCTTACTTAACGTAACTGATTTTGTCTCAGAAATCAGACGGCATAGGTTAGAATGTCGCGGTCCTCCAGGAATCTAGACATGTCATTTTCATCCAGGTTAACCCATGCTTCAACTCCATGCCCATCTCGGGTATCCATCATCAGAACAGAGTTTCTTACAGGAAGACTAGCAACACTAACCCAGAAAGGCTTTCCCCAACCAAAATCAGCTTCATAAAACGGGAATCTGCACCAGCTGTTCAATGACACTGGAACTAGATCATTACCGCGGTTAGCAAATGTCTGAATGACATAATTAAAGGGATCGATCACAACCATATGCCCATCAACCTCCGCCTCGGGGTTGAGAATTTTCTTACAGTCTGCAATAGTCTTCTGAACAGCATCGCTGACCACATTAACGCAGTCCTGAAAGTCCAGGCTTTGATTTTGCTCTGCAGTGCGCTCGGCTACTGCGAATAAGCAGAAGTTGCCACAAGAATGCTCTGGAATTGGAGGAATGGTTCTTTTTCTGAAATTCACAGTTTGTAGAACGAGTGAAGCTCTTGGATGCCCACATTTTGCTTGGTCTATTGCGAGTAAAGCTCTTAAGATCAGCCCAGAAACCAACTGCACTCTTGTTGGCGGATGCTGCTGCTGCTGGCATTTGGATCGCAACTCAGATATAGCCTTGCCACTGAATACAAATGCCCTGGTAAGGATCTTAGGCCCTGGGCAGTCGTCCATGGTTCGGCGGATTCCCATCTCAAGTTTAGGCAAGTTTCTGCTTGGGAAGAATTGACCTGAATTGAATATCGGAAAGATATGTTGTTCTTGTCCCGCTTTCGGGTTGCAGGCGTTAGCCCATGCTGACACAAAAGTGCCCAGAGTGGCCGCGTCTGCAATCCTGTGAGACAAGCAAATGCCAATTGCCAAACCACCACATTCGAAAGCGTTCACTTGGATTGACAGCATTGGATCAGTGATTTCATCGGCCGCGCCAAAAGGACATGGAAGGAGATGATTCAGTTCTTCAGGCTTCAGCGATTCTGCCGGAATCCCGGCTTCCTGGACATGACAAAGACTGTAGTTGACCTGTGCTTCCAAATACTCAACACCTTGGTCACTACAATCAATTAAGCGGTCTCTTTCGATGTACCTTCCACAGAGAGGGTAGAACTGAGGTAAAATTTGAGCTAATGAGGTTTCCAGTGTGTGTTTGCAAGTAATGAACTTGTCGTCGTCCCCGTTACCTCCGAAAACACCACCATAGAAGAGGATCAGGGGCACATTCATGGCTGGAGACATTTCATCTGTGAAAGATATTTGGAAGTTGCGAAAGTTTTCGGGAGTCGGACTTGATGGTTTGATGAGCTTCCTACTTAGGATCTTAACCTCCATCTTTAAACTAACAACAAAATCGCACTTCTGCTTCTACTACTACTAGGAGTGATGCAACTTGTACTACTTTCTACGTTTTTAGTATCGTGGACGAAACTGGTAAAACCGAATCCGGTGAATCTGCAGGCGGCTTCAAAACCGAATATTATAAAAGTTATGAATAAACAATTTGCAACTGCCTGCACACATAGACAAATCATACCAACTCCGACGACAGAATCTGGCTAAAAAAAAAAAAATACTTTCCTAATTAAATTAGATTCCAAGTTGCACAGACAACTCGATCTTTTTTTGGATTATAGTAAAATTTATTGATCATTACAGAAAAAAACATCTATTTCTTTATTCTTTTATCCGGATTTTGGCATCGTTCATTGGTCTTTTATTTGTTATTAGTAGGAGAACTCTCAACCGTAGAGTGTAGACTGTAGACGTATTTAAAATTGTTCACCAGCTGTTATGCATGCACCAACGAGCTTCAAAAAGAAACAAAAATCATGCATATTACTATATTAAAGTCCATCTGGGCACAATATGTAACCTCACTAGACACAAGTGGGAGAAGGTGAAAGCAAGACCTCCAGTACATTCCCTTCCTTTTTTGGTTTAACAGTAGAGAATAAATGGCGCAACAGTCTGCACATTTTACATAAAACTAGCAGCAATAATAGAATTACAGGATGTAGGTTAACCAACACACTACCCAAGTTTATGAATGATCCAGAGTACACGACACACAAGGACGCAGTACATCAAGAAACAAAAGCAGTAAAATTCAATTCCAGCTTTGCAGCAGCAGAACCACAACCACCCGAGATTTCTTGATAGGATTCTGTTGATGGGGTTTAGAAACCATGGATCTTAATGTTTTCCTTCTTCACAATGCCAGCCTGATATAAATGACAACGACAGAGAGAAAAATTTCCCGAATGAGTACTTTCCATCAAAACACAATTAAGTAGCAGCAGTCGCCAAAGAAGCAGCATAACAGTACCTGAGTGAGAAATGTAGATACATTCTTCCTCTGATCGCCTTGAAGTTGGATCACCTATTTCAGCCAAATCATCATTAGCAAAGAGTATCCCAAGAACCGACGCAAAATCGCTAACATGGTGGAAACCAATCATCATGGATAAAATATTTACCTGTCCCAGTTCTGGATCCTGGACAACAGTACCATTGCAGCAGAACTCCTTCTTGAGGTCCTTGAGAATCTTGTTATAACTGAACTCCTTCTTCAACCCCTGGACAGTTGTCAAGCTTTTCCTACCATTACGCTGCTGTATGCGAATATGCACATACTCCTTTGTTCCAGCACCTGAGTTCTCAGCATTGGCATCAGCGAATGGATCTGTCAACATCACGCACGCAAATACGTTAATGACATGAGGCATCCATTTCAGTCAACCATTATAAGTTCTCGAAATATTCTTAGTTCATGAATGTCAATGAGGGATGAAAGTAGAATATTTAAAATTAACTAAGTTATATTGAACCTGCTGTACTATGAATAGAAGTCTTAGCAAAGGCACAGCATATAAGTTCCTCCTCTTGTAAATGGGTATGATTACCCTTATTTGGGTACAAAACAAGCAAACACTTACATTAAAGTCTCCTCTAAAAGTATGTGAAATGATTCGAATGAACTGAAAAGTAATGTTGTCAAAAAGAGGCAAAAACCCCACACAACCACTCTTTAAAAGATCCAGGAGATTGACAAATGTAAGCCTTAAAAGCACTCATGAAGAGAGCTAGGTTAAAGAAAATCAATACCAATCATAACGAAATTTGAGTCTCGCACCTTTAGGCCCAAATAAAAACCAATTGACCACCATTCATGAAAGAAAAGAATGAAAACAGAACTTCCAACAATAGGAATTGAGCCTATTTTCCCATTAAAGTAGAGAGCCACAAATGCTAAATCACATGTTTGACAATTCTTGTTACAGAAATCCTATATGCTGTTCAGTGTTCAAACAAGAAATTATTTATATCTGGAAGTATGAGAATGACCAGAATGAACAAAGTATAAAACTGAAGTAGGAAAACTTCTCAGAACCCTATATCCAGGTAAGAGAAAATCATCCAGAAACTCTAATCCTTTGCTATGTGGGTTTGTTTGCAAAAGATAAAGAACACTAGAGAGACAAATTAGAAAATTATCCTATCTATATCATCTGATTCGAAGTGAAAAATAAATAACAAAACTATACATCTTCTAACCATATCATGCAGAAGCTGACCCAAGCAGACAAAAAGCCGCCATAACATATGCAATCCAACTTACAGACAAATATACAAGTAACTGTTAAAGGAAAAATTGTCAGCAAGGCATGAGTTACAAGCATACCAAAGGTGGTGGGAATCTGGATATCGAGCTCAGACATGAACCTTGGCTGCAAGATTTGAAAATAACCAAGTAAGCAAAAAGGAATGGAGTCCAAAATTAAAAAATTAGATACAACAAAGACTAAGAATTTCACATATTATGAGGTCCTAAGAAAAATTAGGTCAACATAAAAAGGTGAAAGAAGCAAAAAAGAAAAAAAGGTTGATAAATATCTAAAGAAATGGTCAATGGATAAACATTCTCTACTCCCCCTTGCAAACTGAAACGAAGCATAATAAAAGAGCTCAAAAGACATGATGTCCAACCAAAAAGCTTTCTATCATTCCACAAATGTACATCATGCCCATAATCTTACATCTTCAGAAAACTCATAGACGGTCTCTCCCAAAAGGTTTCAATAACACCCACAAACAGCCAATAAGTTCCAATATTTAATCAAAACTTAGCAATTTTTATGACTTCCACTAAGAAAGGAGCACTAGGTTGTTGCACAAGAATTTTCCACATACCCCTGATATAGTTGGTCTATGTCCTTGCCTCCAGAATGTAATATAATTCAAAAAAAAACAAAACAATAAAGTGCTACAATATCATAGAAACACCGAAAAACCAATCATCGTTCCCAAAGATCCAATATCGTGATTCACCAAAGTCGAAAGACCCAACCCTAAATTTTGAAAGAGAGCTTCAACACTGCTATTACCAATTCAAATTCCCCTATTTCTCAAAAATTCTCCGCACACTGACTCGTTACCAATCATAATCAAGACGAACAAGAAAATCATAAACAGGGGGTGGGGGTTCTAAAAAGTTGGAATCTTTCACCCCTTTCTGATATATAAACGATGCCACTCACATCACCAAGAAAACAATTTCTCCAAAAGAACCGAAACCCTCGATCAAAGAAAAAAAAAATCGATTAAATTAAAACCCCAACAAATTAAAAAAATAAACGTACAAAAACAAAAAAGTAACAATCGAAACCCACAAAGCAATTCGTCTCCATCCAAAAGAACCAGAGAATTACCTGATCCGAGAAGATAATCAAGCAAACAGACAGGTTAAAGTTTCAAATTTGATAAGAAAAAATGATCAGCCCCGGAAGAACGAGAAAGAGAAAAGAAGCGGTGGTTTAGGGATAAAATTGGGAGGATAATAAAAAGGAAAAAAGGGGGCTTACTGTTTTTGTTTTGTTTTGTCTCCGAGCACGAGAATTGTGCTTCATATATAGCCTTGGGAAAATTAACAATTTCCATTAATTATTTAAATTTTTATTTTTATAGTATTAAGGGTGGACTTTGACCAAACACCTGGAGAGTACTGTATTCTCTCTGTTTCTCTTTTCCTTTATATTTTGAAAGTTCAATTATGGGTTCAATTTCTTTATCTTTTTGGTGGGGGGAAAAAAAGAAAAGAAAAGTTGACTTAGTCTGAGCCAGTCAGTCAGGTAGTGTTAAAAGTAAAATTTCACCAAATAAAAAGGAGATTCATCACAACTTAATGTAGAGATAAAAACCATAACAATGTGACATAAAACATGGTTAACATTCTTTAAAAAAAATTAAAAAAATCATCTTGTTGGTGACGCAAATAGTATTATGTTAGAATAATAATGCAAATATCACCTTAAATCCTCAATATCTTATACCAAGTAATCATCCATTTGAATACAAAAATACAATCCAATTTTCTACTATTTTCTCAGTCCCAAAATTATTGTCCAGTCTGATATTTCACTTTTAATACAATTTGAACTAGAAATGAAAATCCAAACTGGATAATAATTATGGAACGGACGTAGTATTAGTTAGATTTTGATATTTGCGACTTTCTATAATGACACAAACACATCTGCATGGAAAGAAGATGTGAAACGATTTCATTTCAATTGGTGTAGCGATCTATTTCAGATTCGTGATGATATATCCTGTCAATGGGAAAAGAAAAAGGAAATCAAAGATCCGTGGAAGCAATGAGAAGGGTTTTTTTTTTTTTTTCCCCCGATTTCAAACACACCAGTATGTTCCTTCTCATCATTTATTTCTATCTCTTTGTGGCTAGTTCAAAAAAGAACATTATTCCTACTAGTAGTTTTCAGTTGATGGGAAGACCAATTTTTTTTTATAAAAAAATAAAAAATAAAGACAAAGAACCAAATTCTTCTTTATCTGCATTTGCTTTATATAGTTATTATCTTCTCACTTTTTTTTTTGGCTGCATATTTTTGAGAATTAATTCTTCTTTCTTTCTTGTTTTCATGGGCTGAAGCCTGAAAGTGAGTGTAGAAGAGTGTCCCTTTTAAAATCTTTATTACAAGGAATATATCACAATACTCCCCATGTTTGCAAATGTGGAAGCTCTTCTCTTGAATACACCTACATTTTAAGAAAACGAAAATATTACTGTAAAACATAATAACTACGTTGTTTTCTTTCTTAGTTTTGGTGCAAAGGTCTAAGGGGCTACAGTACACTACAATCCATCGCGGATATAATGATTGTTATGTTTGTTATACAGAGCCAAAGATATTAATTTTTCCATGGCCACTTCCTCTTCCTGAGTCCGTTCTCAACCTTTGTATCTTCCTCGTCATCTGTTTCTCCCGCCTCTTCTTGATCATCATCTTGGTCCATTTCTTCTTCATGACCATCTTCATGATCTTCGTCATCAAAATTGTCTTCATCATTACCATTGATGACAAACACTTGGAAATCGCAGTTTCCGTCGTCCTGTTGTTGTTCCAAAATTTGCATTGCTGATTCATTGACTCTATAAGGGCATCCCTTGATCGTGATGGTCTTCAATACATAAAGCCCGCCAAAGCTAGAAGGAATCTCCATGAGAGAGTAACATTCCTGGACAACAAGCTCCTCAAGCGAAGGAAATGGATCTTCACAATCAGATACATCTATCTCTTCAATGTGTAAACCTTGTAGTTTCAGGTACTTGAGTTTTGAGAAACTCTCATCTTCCACATTCCACACAGGGCCCAAAAATGAGTCGCGATCTAGTTTCAGAACCTCGAGATTAGGCAACTGCTTCCCGATGGCTGAGATGGAACTCGATGGCAGGCGAAGTTGGGACAGCGTCAACTTCTTTAGACTCTCAATCCTAGGAAAGTTGAATGTTGTTGCCATTTCGTCTAGTTGAAGGTTCCACCATCCTTTCATTTTCAGGGACTCCAGTTTTGTTAGAGATCCAAGCATGGAAAACCACATGGGATGGTTGTTTTCTTCTTCTAAGCAGCAGTCCATCTTTCTCAGGCTTGTTAACTTACTGAAAAACTCCATTGTTTTATGATCAAAAGCAAGATGTAGTGAACCAAGTGTCTCAAGATTATGTGTTGCGATGGAATCATCTCCATCCAAATCTTCTAAATCGAGACGAGCACCACCAGATATCTCAACATGTCTTAAACTTTTCATCTTCCACAAGGAAACTGGTAATGGATCTCTTATTATATCTCTTAGAGCTATGATGAGAGTTTCAAGGTTCCACAAGTTAGCTATCGACGGTTGGATGCCGTCCAGCTGATCAAATAAGTCTAAGGCCAAGTATCTAAGATGAATCATGGATAATACTGATTCAGGGAAACCATCACATTTCAAATACACTCCACACAAATCCAATACAGTAAGAACTTTGAATCTCTTAAGAAAGCCAGGACTGTGTACCTTATAACCTGACTCGGAGAACCATAAAAGAGAGTGAACCTTGCTGGTTTGTAATTCCTTTCTGCTGATAATAGGGTTTGGCTTGATGAAAGGGTCAATTCTGCCAATGCAAAGCCGATGGTGGCAGTATTTAGCACTGGACATTATTTGGTTGGTGAGGTTACTACTATCTAACCAATTTAAGAAATTCTCTGTCACACCTTTCTCCATGCACAGGTCATATAACAAATCATGAATATTGCAGGTCTTTATTCCACTCATGGAACTTCTTTTAGTCACCACGACTAAACTTTGAGAAACAAGATTATCCAAATACTCTTTCGCCAAATCTTTTGCATGTTGCACCCCGTTATCATTGACAAATCCCTCGGCAATCCAGAGTCGCTTTAACTTATTTGCAGAAACTTCTTCCCCTCTAGGAAATGCACCAAAATAAAGATAGCACAATTTCAAATGATCGGGTAAGTACTCGTAGCTTAGCTCAATGATGTCTCTGCACCCTTCATTAACGAGGTGTAATTTCAAGTTTTCTGCTACTTTCGTCCACCAATCTAACTTTCGCTCTTCCCTTTGCAGAAGAGAGGCAATTAGAACAACCGCTAGAGGCAAGCCTTTGCAATAACTAGCGATTTCTTGTGCAACCTTTGAAAACTCTGTCGGAGCAGGACTACAACCAGAAAACAACTTCTTGTTCATCAACTCCCAACTTTCCTCCTCAGAGAACAATCGAAGAGGATGTGAATTGAAAGTGAATCCTGTTTGTGAGGCTAGATCATGATTGCGACTCGTGAATATGATTCGGCTTCCATTGTTATCATTAGGGAATGATAGTTTCACTTGTTTCCAGATAGCCACGTCCCATATGTCGTCCATCACAATAAGATATCTTTGCTTCTTTAAAGTTTTCCTCAAGCGATCTGCTAATTCACTGAATTCAAGCATACTGATATCAGAGTCCGGGCCAAACATATCATATCCGATTTTGATCAATAACTCCAGAGCTCCACAGTCTTTAGAGACGTAGCACCACACCAATTTCTTGAAGTGATATTGAATTTTAATATCATTATAGATTCTCTTGGTTAAGGTTGTCTTTCCTTGACCAGGCAATCCTGAGATGGAGATGATCGTGAGAGTATCACGCCCTTGTGTAAGGTAGTCAAGTATGGTTCTTGCATCCTCCTTGAAGCCAACAAAAATCTCTTCCATTTTTGAAGTTGTAGCTCGTGCGGGGACAGCAAAACTAGACTCCATCTCAGCAAAGACTCTCCTATCTTTGTATAACTCATGACCTTCAATCTTCTGGAACTCAGCTCTGGTGATTCTTATGTCTTTTGCAGCTTGTGGAAGGGTTACAATACCAAACCACAGAGAGAAACTCTTGGCAGAACAAAACTTGGTGACATATGCTACAAAATACACCGCATCAATTGTTTTATTCCAAAGATTTTCAAATTCCTCGTGCTCATTTTGCACCCATATGTTACTTCCGACAAGTGGCCTGAGCAACTCTAGTTCTTTCCGAACTATTTCAACTTGATGCTTTATGGAAGGAATCAAATGTACCTTTGCTTCGTACATTTTCTTCAATGCTGTCAAAAGAGAATCAAGAAATCCTATTACATTGGTCTTGGGAGAGTCTGATTGTGATGGAAGCGGAGTTATAGCATATAGCTCCCTCACTTGATTCTTTACCTCAGTGATCTTTGGCAAGAAATCAGAACAGTCAACTGCAGAAATGCCTTCCATGTTATCCAAATGAATTGAGCAAACAAACCTCTGAAGATCATCAATTATAGAACAAATTAGAGTCAAGATTAATTCTTTATCCTCTGAATCCTCCTCGGGTGGATCCACAATAAATGATGCCAAGAATATCAATCCTTCGTAAAGGATTTCAACATCCTTCACATGCATAACCAACCCTTCAAGGAGAAAGTCAATGTAACATCCAAGGAGTTGAGGAATTGTTGTATCTTCAAGGTATGATGCTACAATCCCGGGAGTGTGAGGAATTCCCATGGGTTCCGTATCAGAAACCATACACTCCATGCTAGGTGCTAGGTGCTCATCCTGCCCGCCAATCCAATAAAAGAATGCAAGACATGAGATGCGCTTAACCCAAGTTTGGGTGTGGCACATGACTTCACTAAATTTCTTGAGTCTCGCTATTGCATGATGAGTACAGTTTGCCAACCTTCGACATTCCTTGAGTTTTTGTTGCATGAAGGCAATTTGTTGATTCATCGGAGCTGTCATATCAGTACTAGTGGACAGTAGATATTTGAAATTGTGCAAAATAAGATCAATGAAAGAGGGAACGTCTCTTTGTAAAAAATCCTCATTGCATTTCTTGAAAGAGTTCCATTTGACAGCCCCACCCAATAAGCCAACACAAATTTCTTTGGCTTGTGGCTTTAACTGCTGAATCCTTTCCATCACAGCAGGGTTCAGTTTCCCGAGACGTTTGTAAATACATTTATAGGTGTGATCATTTCCACACTTGCAATCTTCACCTTCAAAATTTGCTTCAACCACTTGATTTATTTTGCTTAACTCTGACACCATCATAATGATGGCATTGTGCAAGTGTCTATCATATTCAGATTCTTCCCAATAAGCCAACCCCCAACAGAACATTTTCCAGAATTTTAACTCTTTGATATTGGAGTCGAAGACCAAAGGATGAGGTTGCAAGATTTTAATGGCAGGATCAAGACAAGTTAGATAAGTTTCTCTCTTCATCCTTAACAAGAGAAGTTCTGGTTCTGCCCGAGCTGCAAGTTAAGCAGACTGTTAGTGTAAGGAAATATGTCTGACTAAACTCATGAAACTATCTAGATTCTTATTTTTACTTTTGCCTCCCAAATAAAATTCAAAGGAAAAGCAATAAAAATAGATCAAAGTAACATCATTTCCTCATTATTCAAAGAGAGTCTACAATTAAAATTATGGCGAGTAATTTGATACCATTAAGTTTTTAAAACCCAAATAGTTAGAAGGTCTATTGATCTTAATTTCTTTCACTTTTTCTTTAACGCAACTCCATTTAAATCCAAGGCACAAAAACGAAAACAAAATTGCTAAGTACAGATGTCCAATCATGTCATAGATAATTAAATTCAAAATTTAATTAGGTACCACTTTGACAAATTTAGATTGTCTGTGAGTAAAAGCACTTAGACTTCAAATTTTATTATTAGGTAAATTTCAGAAATCTCATCGCCACTGAAAGAGACAAACAAGAAACGGTAAATATACATATCAAATGGTTTGGACATGAACTAATATAAACCTATGGTAGCAATCACAAACAAATGCTCATAAAACTTAAGCATGCTAAAGAGTGGCGATTAAATAATGCATACATACCTTAAACTTTATTGTACTTCCACTTGAGAAGATATCTGTAACCTTTTGGTCTCCTCAAAAGAGAGCTTCAAAATTCCTTCAATCAAATTCGCAAGAAGCCACTTTTTATTCCTCTGTTCTTGGAAAAAAGAGAGTTTTCTTCTTCCTGTGCCACAATGGATGTCAAGGTGTGTGGGAGTGTGTGAGGGAGAAAGAAATAGATTGCTTGAAAGGAAATCAATGAAAATGGATTGGAAAAAGAGAACCAAAACCTTAATAAATGAAGATGTAATGAGAAAATTGACAGAGGGAGCACCCAAGTCTTGGTCTCTTGGAAAGATAATGACATCAGTACCAAAGTCTTGGTGTTTGCCCATTGACTAATCAAAACAAAAAGCTGTGCAATTAATGCTGTTCATCATGGTTGAAAAAAATGCATTTTGACGCATTCCGCCAAATTACAGTTGACACATTTTGCATTTTGATTCACTGTGCATTTGGATAAAATCTCTCTGCAGCTGCTTGAAATTGTGCTCATAGAAATTGTGATTGTCAATGCGACACCATTTTCTTTACCGCAGCCATGGGTTTTTAAAAAAAGAACCAACCCATGTGGCAGTTAGTTTTTCTAGTAATAATCTCCACAAGAACATATCCCATCTCTAAAATGATGAAAACTGTTTGAATCTCTCAATATGATGTAACGCCGGAATGTCTTGGATATGAATTTCATGGCAGAATGGCAGTCTCCGCAGACCCTGAGATTCTTATATATCCTGATAGGTATGCCTTCCGGTCCATAGAGAAGACAGAACGCAACGGCCAACTTCTCGCTATGATAGGCGAGACTTTTTTCCTTACCCTTATCATTAATATCCTGCAGGGCAAACTTCAAGTCAGGCACATATCCGGCTTTCTTGATTGAGCATATGATGTCATCAATCTTGGCGTAAATCTGATCAGTATTCTGATGGCTTTTATCTTCCGACATGAAAGTGTGTAATTTGCCATTCATTTCAAGCCAACTACAACCAGGCTCCTTGCTCAGACACTTAGATTTCATTAATTTCCTCATCTCTGCAACATCTTCCCACCTGCCTTCTGTGGAATACATGTTTGACAACATGATATAAGGCACAGCATCTTGAGGTGTCAATTGAAAGAGGACAGATGCCGCCCTTTTTGCTAGATCTATTTCCCCATGTTTTCTACATGCAGCAAGAAAAGATTTCCACGGGGTGGGGTTAGGTTCCACAGGCATCTCATGAAGTAATTTTTCAGCTTCATGCAACTTTCCTGAACGTCCCAAAAGATCAATCATACACGCATAGTGATCAGGACCTGGATTTATTCCATAAACGTTGACCATGGCTTCAAAGTATTGGCGGCCCTCATCAACAAGACCCGCATGGCTGCAAGCAAAAAGTAAGCCTATAAATATGATGGAATCTGGTTGAATGCCACTCTTGATCATCTCGTCATACAACCCAAGGGACTCCTTTCCTCTACCATTCTTAGCATAGCCAACTATAAGAGTAGTCCAACTCATGACATTCCGGGTATCCATTGAGTGAAAAACCCAATTAGCCTCTTCTAGACATCCGCAGTTGGTATACATTGCAAGAAGAGAGTTATTCACCGACAAGGATGACCAAGGACAACATTTCAATAAATTTGCATGAACTTGTTGTCCAAATTCTAGCAAAGCTAACTCCGCACAGCAACTTAAGATGCTAGAAGTGACAACTTGGTCAGTTTCAATACCAGTAGATCTCATTTCAGTGAACAACTTGAGAGCTTCTTCATGGTAGCCATTGTGAGCACAACCGACAATAACAGACGTCCAAGAGATGACATCCCTATTCACCATGTTGTTAAACAACCGAAATGCAGAACACAAATTCCCCTGCTTCGCATACATATCTAAAAGAGCATTATTTATGAGCTTATGATCATTGAAACCAGATTTCACCACCAGACAATGAACAGACTGCGCTAGTTTCACGTGATTACTTGAGGTAAGACAGTTTATAACCGATGGATAAGTAAAATAGTCCATTTCCATATTTCTACGATGCATCACCTGGAACAATGATAATGCCTCCTCTTCAAATCCATTTCTCACGTAGCCAACAATCAACGAGTTCCAAGAGACAACATGATCAATATCCGTCGTCTCCAACACATTCTTAGCACAATCCAAGTCTCCACATTTAGCATACATGTCTAACAATGCAGTCTGGACAAACACGTTAGACTCAAAACCTCCACAAACTATACAACAATGCAACTGTTCCCCAAACCTAAGATCGTAAACTGCACCACAAGCTGCCAAAGCTCCTGGAAATGTATAGTGGTTTGCCTTAATTCCTTCCCGTATCATTCCCTTAAAACAATTAAGTGTTTTAAGCACATCGCCATTTAATGAGTACCCATTTATCATGGCTGTCCAGGTAACATGATTTCTCCCACAAGGAGGCATCATTTGAAACAGGGACTCTGCTTCCACCACGGATAAGCATTTGGCATACATATCAATAAGACCAGTAATCACATATACATTTGAATCAAACTGATTCCTTACGGCATACCCATGAATCTGTTTACCCTGTGAAAGTAAACCCTTGACAGAGCAAACCCTGAGAACACTGCCCAATGTGAACTGATTCGGCTTATGGCCCTCCTCCTGCATTTGACAGAACAATTGAAATATTTCGGTTTCATTTCCACACTTGCAATAACCTGAAATGAGAGATGACCAAGTAATCGAACTCTTGTTTGGGATCACATCAAACACTTCCTTTGCTTCATTTAACCTCCCTGAATTAGCATACCCTGAAACCATTGTATTACATGTAAAGTCATCCTTCTCAGGCATTTGCTCAAACAACTTACGGGCGTCATCGAGTCGGCCTGATTTGGTTAGCTGACGCAAGTATCTGTTTGTATCACACAATGAAGATGTAACACCAGCCAAACTAGAAAAGCTCTGAAGCTTGCTAATCAAACTTAGACTCCATTTTTCACCATAGCATGATCTCCGCAACAAAGACGAATAAGAAGGATAGTACAGTTTATACATAACCACCACAATCGGAACCCATAAAACAATGTAAGTCCTTCTCACGAAGGCACCATAAAATTTTCACGGAGTGATGGAAGCAAGAGCAATAAACTTACAAGCTTAGCTAAAAGAACAAAATCTTGGAGGGGAGTTCAAAAAGCCCTCAAGAGGCAGAGAGAGAAAGTGACCATTGGTTTAGGCCGTAGGGATTATAAACTGCAGGAAATGAATAGAAAGTACAGCGATTTGCGTTTGAAGCTTTGAGCGCGAGATTTGATGTTGGTGTTCTCTATATATGGCAATCCGAAAAAAGATATCTTTTTTTTTTTTTTTTGCTTTTAAAGAAAATCGAACATCCAAAACCAAAAGCTTTATTCATGTCCTGAAATGATTTATTGTTTTTTTTTAGCTTAAATTATGTTAAAAGAAACAAAAATTTGAAATGGAAATTCATTTTATAACAGATAAAGTATTTATGCATCCGAAAGTCTAATCCCATCTTATAATACTCCATCCATTTCAAAAAAATTAACCTCTTATGCAACGGAAAAACTATTAAATTAGGATGGACTTTCAATTTTGCATTTGATAAATCACTTTTACAGTTTTTTTTTCCTTGTTTGTTTTTATATTTGCAGGGCGTCTACCGTCTGTAACAATGACTAATCTCGCTCGCTGAATTGTAAACACCTCGATGGGTGGAACAATTGACCCGTCAGTAACAGTAACTAATCTCTCTCGCTGAATTATAAGCATCTCCATGGGTGGAACAGCTGATGGGTGGAACAGTTGACCTGTCAGTAACAGTGACTAATCCTCTCGCTGAATTATAAGCATCTCGATGGGTGGAACAGCTAACCTGTCGGTAACAGTGACTAATTCCCTCGCTGAATTATAAGCACCTCGATGGGTGGAACATTTGACCAAAATATTTAACGTTGCTCCATGCCCATGACGAGGTTCGAACCCTCGACCTATGATTACGGATGGATAGAAAAGTCCCTTCCACTCCACCACAACCACTTTGGTCACAGTTTTTGTAGATTGTCTATATGTTCTTTTTTGAGTATGTTTTGGTAGGACAAAATTTAAAAATTGAATGTGAAAGAACAGCTTAAAGATTGTTGTAGGTAAATTTTAGTTACTTTGTATTTCACTAACCTAACCTTTTCTTAACCAGTATTTAACATGTTAAAAAGGAATTTAAAAAAAACTCTATTTGTTAAACTGTAAAGACAGCTTTTTAAAAAACCAGGAATTTGCTAAGCAGAAATTTCATTAGCTAAGCAGCAACAAGCAGCTTATGAATGAAATAATCATCATGTTCATCACCTTATCGGGCAAAGCAGAAATAATCATCCCAACAGTTAGCAAACCTAATTAAATCTACTGAATACTTAATGGACGCATCAGGAGTAAGGAGCCTAGGAATCTTGCGTGTATAACCGTACATGTCTCGGCCATGCTTCTCCATAAACATCCTTCTTTGTATATCGACGATCCCAGGACCAAGGAACATCTGCATTTTTTAGTGAAAACCACAAACAAGAAGTTACTGAAAAGGCATCGAAAGGTGAAAAGTTTTTGCAAAGATCCCAAAACGCGAATACCCACCTTCTGGGGTATAAGGTTTTGGTGGAAGCTCATATGGAACAGGCAATTGTATCACTTCAGTAGAGGAGTTAGCAGCTGTGTTCCCTCGCCAGTCCAAAGTCACCAGCTTTGTTCCCTTCTCCTCTGGACAATTCTGTAGTCCTGAGTTACCCTGGAAAATGCAAGAAACTTTAATGCTGTGAAAGATAACCCATATTTAGGCATTTAATTATCAAAAGTACTTCACAAGTAAAAGAATAAATTAGAAGAACCATGGCAAAATTTTACATTTGCGGATTTCAAGGCTTCCGTGCAAGAAAATCCACAACCAGACTTGATGGAAGTAGGCAGAAACAAAACCCCTAGCTGGAAAAGAAGAAATAAGCAATAAGAATTGAAATATAAATATCATCACGGAGACATTGTATTGAGAACTTATTTTCATACACTTCAGTTAATTGCCGCATGATAGGGAAGCACAGACATTTTTAAGCATCGTCGATGAACTGAACATCCGAAAAAACTCAATTATCTATGAGTAGTACAGGTACCTCATAAGAACGAATCATCAACTGAGAATTGCCTTTCTGGAGAGAACCCCATGCAGCTTTACTGAGGTTGGATGAAGTAAGTAACAACCAGCTGTTAATAAAAACCAACCGAAGAAAAAAATTAACAAAAAGGACTTTCACCAACAGTTGTAAATTAGTAAAGCTAAAGACCAGACAAAATAGGAGAAGGAATCTTACGCGAGGTTTTGACCATTATACCGTAGGAATGTCTTAATGTGAGGCATCGCACGACTGAAGAGTAAAAGAAACATATAAAAATCTTCAGATGCAGTTTGAGCCCAGAGAAAGACATACCACAAATTAGTGAGGTAAAACACATTTCAAATATGCATTAGATGCAAGTATCATACATAAACAATCACCACTCATTAGCTGGTTTAGTTGGGAACAGTACAAACAGTTTTGGCAGTTACCCTAAACAACGAACTAGAGACAGATTCCACCAACTAATATGAGTAAATCGTAGGAAAAGCAGATTATAAGATAGGTTGCATACATTAGGCCCTTAATGGCCCGCCCGACCCTTCCCGAACCTAGTGATATGGGGAAATGCACCCGAATGTCCTTCAGACAACAGGGGAATAATATTCATCATCTGAATATTTCAAAATTGTTATTCTTCAAAATCACGTAAAATGGGTAGATCAAAGACAAAGGAAAAAATACCAGCGACCAGTGTGGCTAGCTTTCCATTTTGCCCAATACTTCTTCAGGAAGGGTTTCTCCACATTCTTTACTGGGCTTGGAACTGCATTCCCAGCTGCATATCCCTGCAGAAGAAGTAGCGGGTGATCAGAAAAGATGTGACCATTTTTTTATGAAGAATACAGCACCCTCTATACCAGAAATCAATGTTTGCAGGTGAGATGGAGCAGTGGAAAAGCAATGCAACCATGTCAAAGGCCAAAAGACTATAGCTCAAGAATGGCTCAAAAGAACAGGCTAATGAAGATACCTCCAAAGATGTTCTGATATCTTCCACGCTAGGCCATACAATCAATGGCTCCCCTAGCCCAAGGGGCTTCCTATCTTCTGAGATTCCAGCACTCATAGAAGCCGCGAATTCTGCCATCCACTTCTCATCCAAGGAACCTAAGGAAGAAAACTGCAAAACAGGACCCATCAACCTATGTTGTATTGCTTTAAGAAGTTGAACACCCAAATAACATTACTGCCTTAGCAAAGGCTGTTTATTAAGGTCCAATAGTGAGGTTACAGCTAGACAGGGGCAAGGCTCTGACCACCAGTCTCAATTACCATAAGAAATAATTTTTCAAGCATGTTACTAGTTGGTATCTTCAAATACCAGCATAAGCGCATTAATTACCCAAAACATGGATGCAAACAAAAGAAAAATAGGTCCAAAGAAACCATCCTGTTACTACAAGTTAATGCCATGAAAAGAAAGGTAAACAATATGAGACAAATGCTAGAAGAATCCATTGCAATAAACTGCTTCTCCAGTTAAGGTAATTCAACAATCAAAGGGTCTTCCTCTAGAACTCTTCAGGACTCAACATACGGGGGTAAGATCCTCCCGTTTACTATATTTAAAAAACCCAACTAGTCAAACAATAAGGGAAACAACTGAAAGATAACCACTGAGACGAAGTGATCCTACTATTCCAACCAAAAGACAGTTAAAAATAATCGGAACTCTTTCAGTAATTCACTTCTAAAAGCAAAGCATGTTAACATCTGGCTTTCAAAACTGCAAGCAAGTTGTGAAGGAAGCCAACATGCATCTTTAAATCTGTAAGCAAGGTCCAAGGACGAAAGTCAGAAAGAGATTTTAAGGATCCTGCATACCTGGTAAATGAGTGGAGACTTCCGAAACTCTTCACTGAAAGTGCACTCTTGTAAAACGGAACGCAACTTCATGTGTCCCCACTTTTTCAGGTTGGTACCAGAATGATATCCAGGGACTGACGCGATTAGCCTGACCTTGGTTCACATAAACCATCCAAAATCATGTAACAATAATGCAGTTAAGACCAATTCACCATGACCCCACAACCCAAATACCCAAAATAGTCAAAAGGGAATTAAAACTAAGCACTGCTAGTAAAGAAAACATTGCAACATGATTTTATTCATAGTAAACAAAAAAGAACACAATTTGATCCATATAGTCCAAGAATGAACTGTCAGCAAAGCAGATAGTAAGAGTATGACATCCATAAAATTGTATACAGGTCTTCCAGGACTACCCAAACTATAACCGAGTAGAAGGAAAAAAACCCGTGTCTAACAAATGTAGAATTGAACCAACACAAGAAGCATTCATGATAGAAGAATAGAAAAAAATTTTAAGAAATTTCCTTCATAAGTTTCCATTATTGCACTGTAAATATTCAATCCAACGGAAAATTTTGTTTTGAAACCAAAACAACAGGATTCAAACGGCTAAATAATATATAAGCAGCAATTTACAAGAGTTCTCGTGAATTATCATTCAGACCCAAATAAAGCAATGTCCAGAGTAAAAACAAGAAATCTGATTATTACCATTGCACTGCTGTAATCAAACTTCTTGAAGAACGATGGATTAATACTGAAGCTGCCAAGTTCTGGTAGATTAGCATTGAACTCTGGCCACTGGAAACACCAGATCACCAAATTTAGGAAAAGAACAGCGTCCAATGAAATTTAGAAGCAAATTTTTCTTGAGATAGAAATGATTTTTACAATTAAGGTTCTAACATAATTCAGCCAATAGGCATTTGGAAGCTAAGAAATATACACATATAACATCAAAATGACAGTTTAACCACCATAAGAGGTCAAAATACAAAAATTGAAATCTTAAATAAATCTAAGATCAATCTTTAGTAGATTTTGGCCATCCTAAAAACTTTACTAGATTTTAGTGGAGTTTAGAGATGGCAAAGCAAATGCATATGTTGTCTCAGTTCAAGTTTTAAAATGATCAGTATACTGGGATGTTATTTGAAGTGACCGCACATCAACATACACTACTTACCTTCAGTGAGCTTAGATAATCAACCAAATCAGTCTCAAAACCACATCGTTTGCTCTCAGTGTTATTGTCTTTCCATGGAAAATCTTGCATCCACAAGCCTTGGCTCTTGTTATTCCAATCAACATATATCAAGTTTGCTGTATGTACAATCACTCTCACTCCTTGAGGATAAACAAGAATCATTGCCTTGGAATGGTGCGTACCATATGATATTGGTAGAGGAGGTTTATGCAGGATCCAGTTCGCAGGCTTGTTTCTCTGAAAAACAATCAGCATATAAATTAAAGGCTTATGAGAAGAAAACCTCCGGAATCACAATAATATCGCAACTGAAGGGGTAAACCTTCATATACTCCAATCTTCCATCACCTTCTCCATGGATAACTAGAACATGAGGCACTTTCTTAACCGTTGGACATGCTACAACAGAAGAAGCAGCGGGTAATCAAAACCTAGTCAAAGGTAAGTAAACAAAGGCAGATAACTATTCGTATATTGTTAAACCTTTTACATGCATAACACTTCCAGGTCAGAAAGGCATAGACTCATGCATAACACTTGTGAAATCCATTTGTGAGATAACAAAAAACAGATGAACACCGGGCAACATAAAAGCAAAATGTTGTGAATTGCAATTGTGTTAATTATGTAAACAAATTCTAACCGATTCATCTCGTTAATAGAAAAGAAGTAATATTTCAAGTTATATGTCGGACAAAAACCTGAATGTTCCTAATTCTCTCTCATGCATAAGAACTTCGCAAAAAAAGTTGAACAAGTCCTAGAACATTAAGATCAAAGCAACCAATACTATTGATGCAACTATTGATGCAACAAATGTATTTAAATACATTCAAAGATAGCAATGGGGCAGTGCATAAAATGAGAAAAAACAAAGATCTTGCCCACAGGAACACAGTTGAGACAACTGAAGAAGCATAAGATGCACAAATGCACTTAGTGGAACTTGCCAGAAAGTAGCCAATCCATATCCACCATGTAATTAGACAGTACAGCAAGAAGCACATTTCCCTACAAGAATACCAACGCATAAGTTAATAATCAATGCAACATCGCGCCAAAGGATATCAATCTAAATCTCCAAACAAAAAAACTGAAACTAACTGTACAATATCCTAACATACTCAGAAGGCTTGTACAATTAGACCATTCACCCAAACTCAATATTAAGTTTAAAGGCAGTAGAGCTTTATAACTGGCTTTTATTACAGTATCCTTTGCTGACTTATAAGTTCAATATAAACAGATATAAGGAAATACTACAGCTGAAACTGAGCAACATCTATCTGGCTCCTAGAAGTGAAAGTTTGATATCAAGATGGATAAGTTGCTGGCAATTCAACATGTGAATAAACTTGTACTTTTTATTGTAATAGTAGTAACATCTTGATCACCTGAATCACATCACTGATTGAAACAGCATTCGTATTTGCCCAGGCCGGTAGCCCTTGCACCCGTAACAGTCGAAAAGTCAATGGTAGCTTGTCTTTTGAAACTTCAAAATGGTGAATACCCTCTGACGACTTCACTACATCATGACCATTACACTCCACCATTTTTAGCTGAGATGGGCAAATAGCATGGAATATAAGCTAAGCATCAGGCACTCAATACCAGTCCTATACATGAATAACCATCACCTAGAAAATTCTAAAAGCCTACCAGTAACCCTGAAAAGAAAATAGTACCTTTTTTGAACCTTCCGCTTGAGTTTTGATTTCAGATTCATCTTCTGATATCTTCCTAACAATACCATGATCTTTTTTGCTACAACCACTTTCTTCAACCCAAGACCTTTTCCGGTTATTACTCCGTAAATTTTCTTCCTTTTCACTGTCGAGTAATACATACTTGTAGAAGTAGTGTCCGGGTATTAATTCAACCACATCACCATTTTCAATTTTCAAGTTCTCTCCAGATGAAAGCTTCTTCCTCTCACCACCCTTACTTCTAATGACAACAGGGTTTGTTCCATCCTACAAATTTTTAACTTCTCAGAATGAATGGGGGAAAAGAACCCAAAATATATTGTTCTTTAAAATAAACAAAAAAATGCACCAATGAATCTTTTACAATATTTCTTCATTAGCTCCAAAGTCCAAAACAAAAAGGTTTTGGTCAGGCAAACAATAATTTATGTGAGTCAGCAAATATACAAGGGTTTGCATTCCAAAAAACGAAAAAAAAAAAAAATAAAAAATCAAACACATTGAATTAAAAGGGTTATATACCACCGAGACAAGAGCAGAGCCATTGGTAGCAACATTGACGCTGAGATGCTTCCGACTAATGCGTTTATCGGCAGAAGTAATGCAACTGCGGCCAATTACATTGTGCCCTTGTGATAAACTGATTTTAGGAACTGAATTTTCTCCTCGTCCTACTTCCTCCAAATTATTTTTCAGTGGCACCAGAAAACCCACCTAAATATTTTTGGAGGACACCAAAAGAGAAGGGACAAAAAAAATCCTTAAATTTGGAGAAAACAAAACTACTGAAGATGTTTTCAAAAAAGAAAAAACTACTGAAGAGAAAAGGCAGGAGAAACAACCAAAGATTTCGTCTTTATTACCTGGGCAGAGTTGGGGATACTCATTTCTTGATTCCTTGGAAAAGAGATGAAATTTTAACTTTCGGGGGGGCTAAGAAGGGGTTTCTGAGAGAGGAAAAGGAAGCCAAATGGAGGAACAATTCGGGTCGGGTTGGCGCCATGGGGCGAACTTGGAGTTTGCGACAGTTACCAACGACAACACGAGGTAGTGTGCGCACAATACACGTGTTAATGTCTTAATGATGTTTGTACATTGATTAATTGACGGTTAAATTGAAATTAAACGTAAGTAAAAATACATCAGATACGAATTTACATTATATTTGTAATCAATAGAATAACCATAAGTTGAATGTTTTAGTTGTCAACACATTGAGTTTTCTTTTCTAGATTATTACTTTTATTTTATGTTTTACATTATATTTGTAATCAATAGAATAACCATAAGTTGAATGTTTTAGTTGTCAACACATTGAGTTTTCTTTTCTAGATTATTACTTTTATTTTATCTTATTAGGGCCATAAATATATATGTACTAGTACCAATCTTGCTTGAAATTTTTCAAAACTACACCTAAAATATTAAGAAATATTCAATAATTCATTTAATCTTCATAACCCTCGAGCCATATTGTAAATGAAAAAAATTCATGATATAATCTTTGAAAAGTTGAGCGATAATATGTATTAGATTAAAATTGAACATATTTTTTTTAATCTCAATTAAGTGATTTTAACAATATAACTTAGTAGGAAAAATTTATGTATTGAATTGACCATTTTTTTTTTACACAATATGCTAAAATATTATAAAAAGTAACGAACCTTAAAAATTATTTTCTCACACTACAAAACTTAGGATGAAAAATCGAAAAGACAAAATTGTCAAATACATAATCACAACCTATAAAAATAAAAATAAAACTGTATATATTGTACATCGACTTTATTGTCAACTTCAAAAGGCCGACGGAAATCTCGACACCATGAATTTGATAAGATGTCGCATTTCAAAACATGTCTTCCTTATAGTTTTACCAAAAATATTTTTTTCCTTGCTATTTTAGTGATGTTTACAAAACCATGAATGTCGTCAACACATTGAGTTTTCTTTTCTCGATTATTACTTTTAGTTTATCTTATTAGGGCCATAAATATACATGTACTAGTACCAATCTTGTTCGAAATTTTTCAAAACTACACCTAAAATATTAAGAATTATTCAATAATTTATTTAATCTTCAAAACTCTCGAACCATATTATAAATGAAAAAATTTGATGATATAATCTAATAAGAGATTGAATGATTCTATGTATTAGATTATAATTGAACATATTTCTTTATCTTAATTAAGTGATTTTAACAATATAAATTAGAAGGAAAAATTTATGTATTGAATTGACTTTTTTTTACACAATATGCTAAAATATTATAAAAAGTAACGAACCTTAAAATTATTTTCTCACACTACAAAACTTAGGTGAAAAATTGGAAAGACAAAATTGTTAAATACACAATCGCAACGTATAAAAATAAAAATAAAAATGTATATATCGTGCGTTGACTTTATTGTCCACTTCAAAGGCCGACGAAAATCTCGACGCCATAAATTTGTTAAGAGTTCGCATTAACAAAACACGTCCTCTGTATAGTTTTGCCAAAAATATTTTCTTCCTTGCTAGTTTGGTGATGTGGTTGTAACTTGTAAGTTTTCTTTCTCTTTTTTCATAAGTCATAACTACGGAGAAGGTGTTTTAGATGAGTATGTATAGTATTTAACACTTTTTTCTTTAACTCACAGAAATAGTTCTATAAAAAGAGTAGTGATGAATATAGAGGAAAAAGAAAAAGATGTGCAAGGAATAACGTGAGTTTAAGATACAACATGTTGCAGTGAACTGTGCGTGAACACAAATAGTCAAATATAGCAACCTCTATTTCCCATGCAAATATCTTCTCTTTTTCTTTTTCCCAGAAACTTTGTAGACGTGAAAGAAATGGAGTTGCACTAAATTTTTTAATCACCCCGCATATTTTTCTCCTTCACCTCTTCTTTGTACTTCATCTTCTACACAAAGAAAATCATGCTGATGATGAACAGGGGGGTCTTTGAAATGACAATGATCTTGATCATCAGATCCGAAAAAGTCAAGGAAAAAGAGCTCATCATTCTGATACTGATGACTCAGAGGATGATAAACCTCATGAAGACTGGTCCTTTGATGTGGCTTTTGATCAAGATCAGGACCCAACTTTGCTCAATTCTTGCATCAAGATCAGGATGGGCCTTTAACAAGAAAATTTGAAGTTAAAAAGACTAAGAAAACAACAGATTTTGAGAGTCAAAAGACCTCTATGTATATATCAATTTGGATACTTGATAAATATTGCAAAAGATGTTCACGGAATCAATAAAGCATGCATCTATAACAATCTTATCGCCATGGTCTCCTCGATGCACACAATAGAACAATTTTGATAACCTCATACCTCACATCCCTCTAGGCTCTTAATTAAAATGAACCTTCAGAACTTGACCAATGAATGGATTAACTTGATGCAATCATTTACAATGCACACTAGCTCTATCATCTAAAGATTGATATAAAATCAGAAAAGGAAATTGGCAGGGTGATGGCAGTGAGACAGAATAAAACTACCTTTAAAATATCAATGATTTTCAGAGCAGAAGCTGAATTTCAGAGCTTGACCTTTCTGACTTTCATGAGTCATCTGGTCAGTGAAAGGAGTCAATAGGTCAATATATGCACAAACTAATTATATGACAAGGTACTCCTATAATGTAATCAAACCATTTGCGCATTTTAAATACCTGCTTCACGCATCTTAAATGTTTTCATCTGATTTGGAGAATTTTTGGTCCTCAAATCTTTCTTTGTCAAGCTGTTTGACAAGTATATCATATCTCTTTTTCTCATGCTGCCACAAACATGGAGGTGTTTGATCAACAGGAATTCACATGAATTATACAGCACTAACTTATAGTATCCATGTACAGTACATACCTGGCAAGAGATCTTAGATGCACTTATACAATTGAAGGCAATTGCAAGTACATGGTAGCAAACAGCAGTTTGAGTGAGTTATTCTCCTAAAAGCCTTCCGTTCTACTTCAAGGGCTTCCTGCGAATAATGAAGTGTTGTGTTCATCTTTCCAATGCCTTGACACATCATTGCGTCATGTTGCAAGAACATAGAGAAACTTATCAGTAGTAGATCCCGGGATGGAGACAGGGCATTTGATTCAACAAAGTGGTGTGATTGCAACATGTCGAAGAAAATAGAACAAGTTTAGAAGCATTCATCATCCATCAACAGATCAAAATCAAGAAAGTAAGAAGAGAGTTAAAGAGAATGGCTAACTCCTCCGAGGTGAGGGAACTGATTTTTTATTTTTAAGGAAGATATCTTTCTTTAGCTGTGAATTAACGTAGGTCGATGTAAAGGATTTCCAGCTTAGATCTATCTTTTTTATGATAAGTTTGTTTAGATCTAGTCTTGGTTTGTTATGAATTGGATCTGATTAAATCATTTGTCTTACTTTGATGTTCAGGATAATCTTGCCCATTAAATCGAAACATATTACTCATTTCTCTGTCCTTAAATTCTGTATTTCCTGGTTTTTGGGATGTAATTTTCCCCCAATCGAGGTTGATCTTCTTTAATAGTAATTAGCTAATCTACGCGGGCTTAGAAATACCTAGTTCCTTCAATAAGCCACATATCTACAGCAAATTTTATGCCATTTGTAGTCGAATTCATGGTCAGTATTAATCAAAAAATCAAGAAGGTATATATATTCTCATTATATCCAACCTTCCAACTAAGAGCTCTAATCCTAAATTCTTGTGAACCAGTATGAGAGATGAGAAATGTGAAAATTACATACCTTCAAGATTGAATATTATGGCTGAATAAGGACATACATGGCCACACGAAAACTTGGTTTTCTCAGTGACCAACTCAACTTCTTTAACAACCAATGGGATTAACAGAAGACAAATTATCATCTCCATCAATGGCATGCAATAAGAAGTCTTTTCAAGTATGGTTTTCTTTTCTTTTTCTTTTTTTCCTTTTTTGTTGATTATCATGTTCTTGGCCAACAGCTTAGTCCATTTGTTTTTCCTTAATTGTAAAGGCTTCTTTGGACATATCAAACTCCGTCCTCATACTATCCCTTCCCCACCCCATGAGATAGAAAAAAAGCTAAAAACAAAGTAGAACCAACCAAATGATGAACTACCAGAATCAGATTAAAGAATACCATCCTCATACTATCCCTTCCCACACCCTCCTCATAATTTATATTTTAATTTTTTATGAAAAATCCAAAAAATAGATTAAAAAATTATTTGTAGGGTGTATATTTTTAGCTTACCACTTTGCATATACGAATAAATATGCAAAAAAAAAAAATACAATGTATAAATGGATTAGAGATACTTTAGTTTATGTATTTCTAAAAATTTTAATGTTCTCAAAGAAAACTAACCGTAATCATTTGATGTTCCTGGAATGTCCCACGTGAAAGATGCCCAAAATAGATCAATGTGAGCGTCGGGAAATCTTAATCTTTTTTTTTATAGAAATTTAACAACTTCCCTCTTGCTCCGAAAGGTCATTCTTTTGTTGGACTTCTTTTGAAGGCTTTCCAGGGCATACAACTTACGGTCGTTGTGGAACTGAAACTTTGACTAGGCGTCCAACCCTCTAGCTCCAAACATCTCTAGGGTTGGGCCAATCCGCAGGAGTATAGGGAAAACCTCTCCCGAAGCACCAAGAGGAACTCGGTTTGCACCAACATTTTCTAAAGCTTTATGCTTGACAACCATGTTTTTTCAAGTTACTCTGCAGAATCACAAGTTCCAAGGATTGAAAACTTAATTTCAAAACCAAAAAAAAAAAAAAACAATGTTTCTTCTGATTTGATGACAAAAAATTGAACACATATGTAGTTGTGGAAATAAATCTTCTACTCATGCAACTTAAATCATCAATTATCTTGAGAGTTAATGATCA